CGAGTCTGCTAGATAGAGTCATCGCCATTATTACTTTTTCTAAGCTGTAAACTCATTCTCTTAGGTGATTTTTCAACTTTCTCTCTAGTTAGGCCTTTCTGGTGAATCAAACACATCATCCTTTCACTACACCATTTTATGCCTACGGCCACACTAAATCTGAGCAACACTTAAAAAGTGTTGCCTAAAATATTTTTGGGAACACTTTTAAAATGTAGCCTAAATTTGTAACTTTTGGCAATGACAATATTAGCAACACTTGTAAAGCGTACTCTGTAATGGTATTGATTACACTTTATAAGCGTTGTCATAATATGAAATAAATGGCAACATCTATTTACATATATGACCACACTTTTAAAGTGTGCTATTTTTTACAATTGTAAAAACCACACATTACAAGTGTGGCCTAAATTTTTCACTAAAATTTTATATTCCCTCCAACATTTTCAACTCTCCCTCCCATATTTTATTGGCCAAAAAAATTATTAATAAAACATTTCCAGAAACTTCTCTCTCTCTCTTCTTTCCTGGAACAGGGCTTCTAAAAGTTTCTAAAAACATCCATTTCTAAAGAGCAGCTGAAGAACGTAGCTGAAGTGAAGATCGAAGAGAACAAGCCGAAGAACGTAGCTGAGCTGAAGAACGTAGTTGAGCTGAAGAACTTAGGTTAACTGAAGTACTAATCAACATCTGAGATGCAGATTGTCTTCTCTAGAACATGATTTTCTCAAAGGGATGAAATGCTAAAGCTTAAGAACTGTGGATCGAAGAACTAAAGTGTGGAATCTGAAAAATCTAAAGAGCTTAGCGGAACATTTCTCCGATACCGATTTTGTCAAGTGTAAGTACAAATTATGTACAGTTGAGTTTCCTTCTTATTTTCTACTAATAATCTAGCACTAAAACAATCTTCTTGTGAATTGATTGAATTTTTGTTTTGTATTTAGAAGGAATTGATTAATTCGGGGGTTCTTACAGTTGAAATTCCAAAGTAGGGGAAGAAAGTTTCGAAAATCTGAACGTCAATGTTAGACCTAGGAATCTCGAGTAGACGAGAAAGAGCAAATTAATACTCGAAGCATTTGAGTCTGTAAGTATATATCTTTGTGTTTGTATTGCGTTGTACGTCTATTGCGTTTCTTATGCACCAATTTCTGCATCATTTTGTTTTTGTCTTCTGTACCTGCAAATTGTGCCAGTAGTTGGTAAAAGTATATCCTCAAGGTTCACTATTTACTATTGTTCTTTAAGGTGTGTGTTCCAGTAGCTGAGATTTGTTGCATCTCAAATTGAATATAGAAGTTTGAAAGGAACTTAATAACGTTGTGTGGTATCAAAAATCAATCTGTTCAAGAAGATTTGGATTTGTTTCCTTCCGTAATGAGCAGGTACTAAGATGTCTTTGATCAACCCTCTGATATAAAGCTTCTTCTCAAGTGCATTCCATCCAATATAAGAAAAGAAAAAATTAGTAGTGCCTATCTTGTGCTTTTCTATGAACCATGTCAACCTTTTTATCCTTTCTTTTGAAATGCTTGTGTAGGAGGTGAAAAATGCAATAAAAGACTTGAATGGTAGGAAAAGTGGTCTAGTTTTTCAATACACGATTTAACATGGTTTATACTAGTTTTTCAATGCACTGATTCAATATGGTTTATACACTTATATAAAATTGTTTATTGAGATTTTGATTCTTAATAGATCACTTTTCCAATCTGTCTTCTATTGGGGAAAATCTTGATTGATTACTGCTTGTGTTCTTGTTCTATTTGGAATTCTATAGCATAGGACAAACTAAGATTATTTTCTTTTTTTTTCGTGCGGGTACCTTCATTGATAGACATTATGTCATTCACTATGCTAGTCCTTCACTCGCAAAGCTAAGCAGATCATTGCATCTCTTCCAGTCTTCATCTCAATCTAGTTTCATTAGGTTCTCTTGTGTGCTATAGTTCAATCTTTTCTTTTTACTATTTTTGCGAACCATACATGTAATGAATGTTGTGTACCCGCTAATTTATATAATTCTCTATGTTTTTGAAATACAAGCTATGACATTTCATTTTCTCCTAGAGATCATTTTCAAATTGATTAGAACTTGGTTTCATGCCATGTTGTTGCATCATTTCATGGTTGTTTTACTTCCTAGATTAGTCGGCTTGATCAAAGATAGGCTTGGTTTTCTATCTCATCTAAATTGAGATCTTTAAGTCCGTGTTTAATCAACTTAAAGATGACATTCTCTATCTTTTCTTTTGTGGTTTTCAATGCTTCTGTCACTAATGTCAATATTGAGAAATTTCAGTTTAAAGTTCATTTTTAGTTTTGTGAGATTTTTATCCTTGTTCGGACAGTCAGTTTCTTTCTGTTGTCAAGTGGGAAGTCAGTTTCTTTCTGTTGGTATTTCCCAAATAATGATAACCCATTTAGGTGATTAAAATTCCTCTAGTTTTCATTTATTTTGTACAAGTTTCCTTAGTTGTAGTCCTTGTTTTATTTTTTGAATCGTCTGTATTGTTTGCTTCTTTTGCATATCAATTCGTCAATAAAATGAAAGTCAGTTGGAATCGTCTGTATTGTTTGCTTAAAATCTCAGATGCTAACTTCCTTCTGTTACTAAACATCGACTTATTTTCACAACATTGGCAGAATCAGCTTATTAATATATTTTTTCTCTTTTTTTGTTTTTGGCTTGTTGCTGCGTCTTTTATTGTATATTTGGTTGGGTGATAGTTGAGGTATTTTATTTGTTACTTAAGTCTTTTCTCTCTCTTTCTCTCTTCTAGAACGTCTCAACTATATTTTCCTCGATTTTTTCTAGTTGTTCTTTATTCAAATCATCCTTTATTTTGTTTGTTGATGTATTTCCTTTATTGATGTATCCAATTGTGAAGGTGGTTTTCTGTTTCTTGTTGGTTATTAGTTTGATCATGAAAAAAAGATCATTATAGTTGCTGGAGCTTTTGTTGGAATACCTGTGCTGGTTTTTGTATACTCTAAGTTGATTTAAATCAAACACCACTCAGAGCTTGCATCGGTTTGTTCGGTTCGATTCAATTTTTGTTGTTCGGTTTCATCTCTGTTATTTGGTATGGACTGGTATGCAGGGATTCAAAATCAAGTTAGTATTATATATTTACTTTAGTTAATTACTTATGATATCCAAGTTCACAGTCCTTGATAACAGTGACTTGCTGGATTACACAAGTTGCCATTGAATTTGCTTGTGAAAAATACATTTATGCTGTGTTGATATTGGGCTTTATTTTGTTTTTTCCTTACTTGGTCTCTCTACTTCACTTTTATGATTATTACTGAAAAGGGGGAAGGGTCAGTACTTGCTCCTCTACTATTGAAAATTTCAAAAAATTATCCTACGTTGTATTAATTAGTTTGATCTAAGTGAGTAAGTTTGTAACAATTTAAATTTCAATAGATCCATTTCCATCATGCTTCAATATTTTTATATTTCCGTCTTGTTTCGGTTTTGGATAGCATTCAATTATTTATTTGTTTCTTGGAACCTAGAAGCTGATGGGATTATTTGGTTTATAATGCTAATCATTCGTAATACTCATCGATAGTACATTAAGTAGCCAATTTATTTATACTACTAGGATTTATTCTTTTGATGAACTTGTTTGGATTAGTAGCTTGTGTTTAGAAGAAATTTTTGTTTTGTGTTTAGAAGAAATTGATTCTGTTACAGCTGAAATTTAAAAGTGATTAATTGTTAAATTTCTTAATTTTGTGTTCTTTCTTGATGGGACAGATTTGTTTACTAGAGGAATTGATATTCAAGCAGTTAACGTTGTTATCAATTTTGATTTCCCTAAGAACTCAGAAACGTATTTGCACAGGGTATGTATAACAGATCTTTGATCTTGCTTATTGACTTATATATTGTTTTTGCTATTTCATCTTTGGTAATTTATTTTGCAGGTTAGACAATCAGAGAGATATGTGAAGCTTGGTTTAGCTGTTAGCCAGGTTACTTTTGAGGATCACTTCATTTTGTATGTATTAATTATGTTCATTTACTTTATACTAAAGCATTAAGCTCTATGTGTTTATTTTTGCTACTACTAATAGTATATATCTGACTGTGAGATATAGAATTGAAGAAGAACTACGAATAGAAATCAAGAAAATCCCTTCACAGATAGATTAAGCTATATATAAAGTCTTCTATGTTATCTCCCCTTATTTTTCTGAATGATTTTTTGATGAAGTAAATTGAGTTGTTTTGTAGTCCTGGTAGGTTCTGATTAGACTTAAAAGCTAGTTCAACTTGCTTGCTTTAGATCGCTTTAATGGTTTTCTTCCATTTTTAGATTTTGGAAGGCTACATAACAATTGAAGTAAAATTATGAACTCTTTAAAATAAGGTTTCCAGTAGACCTTATCACGTGATTCTGTTAAGCTTTGAACACTTCAAGATTCTTGAAAAATTTCCTTATTCTTGATTAGTTCATTAAATTTTGTCTATCCTATTAATTCGCTGTCTTTCTTAATTCTTTCTATCCTATTAATTTTACTTATTTTCCCTTAGAACCAAAATCAACATTCAAAAACATTTGTGGAGGATTCAAAGTTTGATTTGGCATAACACAAGTGTCATGACTACGTAAGAAAATATTATCATCTCATAACACCTGATTTTGGTAACTTAATCATGAATTTAATGATTCTTATTGAAATATCAAATATTTATATCTTTTTATAGGAATTCAAATATCCCATCCAAGGATTGGATAAATTTAGCAAGGTATAGACAACCCTATATTGATGGTGTGGAATCATTCCTAGATTTTACTTACTCTTATGGAAATTCTCACGTAGAGGAAATTCAATGTCCATGTGCAAAATGTTGTAATATTCGTTGGACTCGAAGGAATGTAGTGTATGATCATCTAATATGCTATGGATTTGTTAAAGGTTATACTAGATGGATCAATCATGGAGAATGAGATATCAAGTTGAATGTTGAAGATGATATGGATTGCTCGCGTGATGATATTGATGGATTGTTGAATGATCAATTTAGAGATGTTGCACAGGCAAAAGGAGCTTATAATGGTCCAAATGAAGATGCCAAGAAATACTATAACTTAGTTGAAGAGGCAAGCCAAGAATTATATCCTGATTGTACAGGATTCTCTAAATTATCATTCACACTTCGTTTATATTTGTTGAAGTGTCTACACGGATGGAGCAATGAATCATTCACTTCTCTTTTAGAGTTATTAAAAGAGGCGATGCCCGAGTTGAACATTCCTCCCTCTTACAATAAAACCAAGTCTATGGTCAAGAATCTCAGCCTTGATTATGAGAAAATTGATGCATGTCCAAATGATTGCCTGTTGTTTAGGAATGATCATAAGGATGATAAATTTTGTCATACTTGCGGAGCTTCACGATATATTGAAAATCCTGAAGTTGATGGTGAGGTTGAGTCTTCTAAAAAATTACATCGAGTTTCAGCAAAGACTTTGAGACACTTTCCATTAATTCCTAGACTCAAAAGGTTATTTATGTGCTCAAAGACGGCAGATTCTTTGAGGTGGCATGATGAGGAGCGTTCAAAAGATGGAAAGTTAAGGCATCCCACTGATGGTCAAGCATGGATTGATTTTGATAGGTTGCATCCAGATTTCGCACTAGATTCTCGCAATGTGAGACTTGGATTAGCAAGTGATGGGTTCAATCCATTTCGAACCATGAGTATATCTCATAGCACATGGCCAGTTATGTTGATGACGTATAATATGCCGCCTTGGATGTGCATGAAATCTGAATATTCTATACTTTCATTACTTATACCTGGGCCACGATCACCTGGAAATGACATTGATGTTTACTTACAACCATTGATAGATGAGTTAAAATTGTTGTGGAATTCAGGGGTTGAAACATATGATGCTTCAAGAAATCAAACTTTTCAAATGCGAGCAGCTCTTATGTGGACAATCAGTGATTTTCCTGCATATGCTATGTTGTCTGGATGGAGTACAAAAGGAAAGTTTGCTTGCCCTTGTTGTAACTATAACACTAATTCTCACTATCTTAAGCATAGTCGGAAAATGTGTTATATGGATCCACCTTTATTAAAGGGAACTGATGTGCTTCATAACTTAAAAGATTTTGAAAATGTGTTTGAAAAGAAGATAAAGAGATCAAATAATGGCCCATGAAAAAAAAGGTCAATTTTTTTTGAATTACCTTACTGGCAGCACAACTTGTTACGCCATAACCTTGATGTAATGCACATAGAGAAGAATATAGTTGATAGCATTCTTGGAACTCTTTTGGATATTCCTGGCAAAACAAAGAATCATGCAAAAGCCCGATATGATTTGAAAGAGATGGGAATTAGAAATAATCTTCATCCAAAAGATGCTGGAGATGATATGAGAACAAAGTTTGCAAAAGCTTGCTTCTCAATGACAAATGGAGAGAAATTAGTTTTTTGTGGAGTTTTAAAGACAGCCAAGCTACCTGATGGCAGTGTCTCTAATATATCTAGGTGTGTGCAACTGGATGAAAGGAAATTGTCTAGTTATAAGACCCATGATGCTCATTTCATGTTACATTACTTGCTTCCAATACCCATTAAAAGCATCCTTCCACATCATGTGGCTATTGCTTTAATTCGTTTATGCTCCTTCTTCTAACGTTTGTGTCAAAAAGTTATAACATTGGAGGAATTAGATTGCTTAGAAGTAGAGATAAGGGAAACAATAAATCAGTTGGAATGAATTTTTCCTCCGTCATGTTTTGATATAATGAGTCATCTGCCTAAACATTTGGCGAATGAAGTGAGATGAGGTGGTCCAGTTCAGAACCGATGGATGTATTCCACTGAAAGAGAAATGGGTACATTTAAATCATATATCCGCAATAGACGTTATCCAGAAGGTTGCATAGCAGAGGAACGTGTGGGAATAGACTGTATGAATTTATTTTCAAGATATCTGAATGGGGTTGTACAAACAAGATTTAATAGAAGAACCAAAAATAATGATGAATGTGACCCAACTGATGTAGAAATAGTAAGTTTGTTTCCTATTAAGGGATGTCCTATAGGAGCAAAGAAAACTGATCCATTTGTTTTCGACAACAAATCACTAAGTCAGGCACATGCATAATTATTGGGAAATTGTGATGAAATTCAAGAATATATTAGGTACTTTACTTTAATATAGTATTTTTATTTGTATAATTAAGTTTTAACATATTTAATTTATTTATAATTTTAACAAAAAAATACATGATGTGAAGAGAGCATATGCAAGAGGTTAATAATCATCCGCGAAGATCTAAATGGATCAAGGCCAAGGATCATTGTCAAAAATTCTCTCAATGGTTTGAAACTCGTGCTTTGCAAGAGGATGTGCCTGATTTGATAAAACAATTGTCTAGAGGACCAAATGTTGTTGCTAAAAGATACTCTGGGTATCTCATCAATGGATATAGATTCCATATTAGGTAGCGTGATGCAAGACGCAAAACACAAAATAGTGGTGTTACAATTGTTGCCTCAACTACGAGCTTTGCAAGCTCAAAGGATAAGAACTCGATTGCTGCAGATTTGACTTATTATGGTAGAATAGTTGATATAGTTGAGTTAGACTATTATAGTCATTTTAAGGTTGTTCTCTTTAAGTGTGATTGGTATGAGGTTGAGAAAGATATGTATGGCCTAACTTATGTCTATTTTCACAAGAGATGCTCTCTGGAAGAGCCTTTTGTGCTTGCATCTCAAGTACATCAATGCTTCTATGTGCAAGATCCATATGATCAAGATAGACATTATGTTATGAAGACTGTGCCAAGAGACTTGTTTAACATGAGTGATGAATTTGAATATGATCTCCCACAAAATTATGAAAATGAGTTGTCTGAACACTTGACGGGACCATCCATACCAGAAGATGATGGTGAAGTTCCCTTAGTAAGGAATGATATACCAGAAACTGTTATTGATGTGCTTCCGGAGGAATTTGATACTCAACAACTTGAGGTTGAGTATGAAAAGGAGTTTGAAGATGAGTCTCAAGAAGAGTTCGAAGATGAATCTGAAGAAGAGTGTGAAGACGAGTCTGAAAATGAGTATGAAGATGATTCTGAAGATGAGTCTGATGAATCTGAAGACGAGTTTGAAGATGACTGTACACCATGAGTATTCTTATTTTTATGATGAACATATAGTGCTAACTCACTTTTTTTTGTTATTTAACTTTTTTTGTGCAAACACCTTAAGTTGTCTATGTTTAATGTTGGCTTTGTTTATGTGTCTGGCTGTTTTTGGTCGATAATTTATGTTGACTTCTTTAATTTATGTAATTATTGTTTTGTTGATGAAGCTGTAATTCTAGCTTACTTTTATTTTATTTGACTGTATGTTGGCACAACTTGTATAACTAAGGTTAGTAATATCTGGAGTATGCATGTTACATTTA